TTCCCTGTCATGTCTCTTGTTTCCTCTTTTATTCTGATAGACTGTGTTCAGCGTATTTAGTTTTGCTTCCTCCCTGTCTTGTCAGCTCTGATTAGTCCCAGTTGAGTAACCGCCTGTTCCAGTCCCCTCGTTATCCTGCCTGTGTGTTTAAGTCTTCAGTCTCCCTGCTTGTTGTCATGTCCTCCACGTTAGCTGTGTGTTGTAGTTCCATGGTCTCAAGTCTCGGCAGTTGTTAGTCATAATTTGTCTTTATTTTGTTTCCTTAGTGTTCATCTGCTTTGTTTTTAGTTCATTTTACCAACAATTAAAGCTGCTGCTTTAAAGTTTGTGTCTCAGAGTCCTGCATTTGCTCCAACCCTTGCTTGCCGCACAGCTCACCATGACAAGAGCTGCTGGAGTTCAAGCCAAGCATCAGAATGGGAAAGAAAGGTTTAATTTAATTGATTTGGGACCTGGCATAGTTGTTAGTGCCAGGAAGGCGAGTATTTCGGAAACGGTTGATCTACTGGGACTTTGATACACAAACATCTTTTGGGTGGACAGAAAATAGTCTAAGATAAAACACTGATGTCAGAGGAGAATGGCCACGCTGCTTTAACATGACACAAAGGCAACAGTAACGCAATTAACCACTGTTACAAACACGTTATGCAGAAGAGTGTCTCTGAATTAAATGAATTGCAAATGGGCTGCACCGGGTGCTACTCCTGTTAGCAAACAACAGTAAACTGAGGTTACAGTTTGCAAGTGCTCACCACAATAATGTGGTTTGATGAGTTTCGACTTTGTTGCAACATCTAGAGGGTACGATCCAAATATGGCATGAACAACATGAAAGGCCCTTTCCGTCTTAACGGTTCAGGCTACCAGTAGTGGTGTAATGGTGTGAGGGAAATCTTCTTGGTATCAAAGAACAGAAAGCCGAGGTTATAGTTTACATAAGATCACTAAAATGTTCTGGTCTGATTAGTCTTGACTTCTGCTGCTGTAGTGTCAGACTTTACTGTAAACAACCATGAATCTGTTCTGCCTTTTATCAGTGGTTCAGACAGCTGCTGGTGCTTCAACATGTATTTTTCCTTGATGTTACCTTGTCATAGTTTAGGCTCCTTAGTACCAGCTGAAATTTTCAGGGTGAGATTCACATCTCAATAAATTATCTTTCAGTTAACACTACTGATTTACATCCTGCATGGCAGCCATACTGGAAGAAAGGGCGAAAGAGATCATGTGTAAAAGGGAATTTTGAAAAAGTGCTTATAAACGTTATAAATGATCTTTTTTTTCTTAAAGAAATCTTTTACCTCGTGTTATGTTTTTCATACCAGTTGTAATTTCCATTGCAAATATTAATCACAGTTAAATTAAGGGGAGATGACATTAAAAACGAAGCTAAGCTGTGATGTCATCAAGTACACTTCCGTTCATACTGTAGAACCACCGCGCTGCGCCCACCACAGCCTCGACTGAATTCTTCGTTCGGACTCTGCAGGAGACGGACGCATAGGAAGCGGACAAACGAAGACTTCTTTCTTCACCTTTGATCATGAAAATGTGGATTTTTGCTGTTCTGGCCGCTCTCGCGGTCGGAGCCTCAGCTCAGGACTGTAAGTCGTTTAAATTTGATATAAACTTGATTCTAAAAAGAAAGGCACAGCTCAGTTTGAGTAGATTTAATGGAAATTTTCACAAAAACGAACAAACTCCCAACACATTTTAAAAGTTCAGAGCAGCTTTATTTAAGACATAGATAAATTATCTTTCTGTGAGATGTAGTTTTGCTTGTTTTATTTGATCAAATATTGTAATTTGCCACCAGAGTTGAACCAAAAAGCTGTTTTTAATGTTACACTAGCTAGTTTTGTTGGTGGGTGGGGAAGGTTTCTTCCTCTGTGTTGGGACTAGCCCCCAAAAGATTCATTCTTATATTCTTATTCATTCTAATATAATACTAATTATACTGTACAGTCACAGTACAGTAATGTGGTTACGTATTTGAGTTCCTGTTAATAACCTGCTAGTGTGGTGGTGTTTTTTCCTCTTTCTCTTTAGGTTCACCATGTGCCACTATGAAGTGGGCTACATGCGACGGACCCCCATGTTCATGTTATCTTCTGGTTGGTAATGGTGTTAAACAGCTCATAGACTGCAAAGCATGTAAGTTTAGAAGTGATAAAGGGGCTCCTTCCTGTTTCATGTCCTCTGTTTGACACCCCAGCCTGCTCATGGTGTGCACTTTGTTCCCCCCTCAGTGATCCCCAAGTGCTTCTTGATGAAAGCTGAAATGTACAGAGCTGGAAAGGCTCTGAACATTCGCAGTATTGGAAGAAAGCAACACGAGACTGCCATTGTGGACAACGATGGCATCTATGACCCTGAATGTGAGAATGACGGCAAATTCAAGGCCAAGCAGTGCAACGGCACAGATGTGTGCTGGTGTGTCAACAGCGCTGGAGTTCGTCGGACTGACAAGGGAGACCAGAGCCTCAAGTGTGAGAAGCTGGTGGAGACCCAGTAAGTGATTTCACTATAGTGAAGGATTCTTGTGAGGATGAATAGTTCAAGTATTCAACATCATTTCTTTATTTTATTTTTCCCCCAGTTGGATCCGTCTTCAGCTGACACACAAGGAGGGGCCCACCAACGTGAATAAAGACAATTTGAAGGCGTAAGTCCACTTCAGCCCTTATTAAAAGTTAAGAAACATGCCGAGGCTGACATTTCCAGATCTCACCATCCTAATGTCTTTTTTAAAACAGTGCTATTGCAACTGAACTTAACAAGCGTTACAAACTTGACCCCAGCCTGGTGAAGGACGTTCAGGTGAGTGAGAGTCCAA